CACCAAAGTTATTAGAATTTATCATAGGGGTGGCATGAAGGTGTGTACCAAATTTCATGGCAACCCATCGAATAGTTGAGATAGTTTATTCAAAACCACGAATGTCAACTTCCTGATGGTGCAAAAGGAAAAGTTATGGGTTCACCAAAGTCATTAGGATACATCGTCTGGCAACCATGAATGTCTGTGCCAATTTTCCGCCCAATCACTTTCTTTGGTATATGTTGAGATATTTTATGGGATAATGTTAAACTTTGACTTCATGGTGGCGCTAGAGGGAAAGCCGGGATCATTGTTTCATCCTCTGGGAACCATAATGTCTGTTCAAAGTTTTATAGCAATTCATCTAATAGTTGTTTAGATATTCAGTTTGGACCAAAGTAATGGGCCGACCGACATATCGGCTCTGCCTAAAAATGGCTTTGTGGGACATTATTCTGAGCAGAAATGAGACGTTTTGTTGTCTTTACTGCCAACTGAGTTCACACAATCTCTCTTTAGTGGCTGGACTACTTGATGGTACTTAGTTTGGAGTATGAATCACACATTTGGCAAGAAGACTGTTAGTCGTGACTGAGTTCAAACGAGGATTCAAACTGTGCTGGAAGACACTTCCAGCACTGTGCAAACATGATCACATAGGGTCTGTCAGACTGATCTGTCAGAGGTCAACGAGGAACCCGTCTGGGAGAAAAAAATGTAGGATTAGAGTCGATATTTCCATTCTCAGGGGATCTGACCTTTCTATGACACATTGCACTGAACATCATTTTTTTTAGTCTCAAAGTCAATCTACACAGCAACTTAAAGCAAAGCAAGGTGTGATATGACAACACATTTTAACGAGGTAGAAGGTACAATAATCTCAGTTATATGGTGAAATATTTGATGAAGACAATGTCCACTACAGTGTTTTAATTTTTAACACAAAGGTGAATAAAAATGCTTGTGTTCTTCCAATTTTATTCATTCACAATTTATAGAATTATTTTTCTACTTGAACAGAATAAAACAATTTGGGGAGATCTCACATAAGAGAAACAAAAAAAACAAAAAGAAAACTACAAATAAGATTTAATCTGAACTGAAATCAAGTGAGATTCTTTTTATTATCTGTATTATTTTGCAAGTTTGTATCTATAAAAGATAGAACAAAAATTTCATAGTTTATAGTTTGGTTAAAAAAAAATAAAAAAAATCACAGTATACAGTACATAGATTCCTCCCACAAATTTGCACTTATCTAAAATGATGATGTACAACCACGTGTGTCAACATAAAACCAAGAAGGCAAAGAATAACAACAAACGAAAACAGACTTTTCTTTTACAAAGCACTGCTGGCAGCCACTACAGTCGAGGAGGTAGCTTCCTTAGTTAGCATCCCATTCTTGATTACTTGTTTTCTTTTCAAATAATTTACATACAAATACAAAAAAAACCAATAACCAAACTACTAATAGATTTGTACATTTTCACCAGATGGGACATTAGACACCTCAAACAATCAACGGACATTTTGGTTGGTGCAAAAATGTTCACACCCAGTCAAGACGACGTCTACGTGAAAACAGGAAATGTAATCCAGAAGATTAAAATTAAATGGTGCATTATTATAAAAGGACACAAGAGTGTTTTGTTGGTGGAAGAAAACATTTCCCTACATTGCCTAAATTCCTGAGCACTCACATGACGTGCACTTGTGGATACATGCTCCGAGGGTGTATCCACCTTAATGTGTACAGTCACGCTCCAGCACACCAAACATCAGTCAATCCGTCGTCACACTCGGTCTCACTCGGGTCAGCTCTCAGGGTGAAACGAGATCTACGTTAATGTGCTTTACAATGTAATAATGCTCTGATAACCTTTACAACAGAACTGGGTTGTACAGACTGAAGTGAGTGTTTGAGTCACTGGCTGATAATGTAACTGGATTGGAAAGACACTGGAGGCAGTGAATTAGTTTAAAGATAATTCCTCGTTTTCAACACAGGCCTGATTTTTGTATCACGTCCATTTATATTCTGGTCAAAACTTTGCCAGTGACTTCGCTGTAGGTACACACGCTGCCCGTGTGCATGTCCACGTACACACACAGAGAAAAAAGAAAATCCTTTAATTTAAAAAACACACTGCAGATACTTCTCTTTAAGTATCTGTTGTTGAATAATGATCACCCACATTTCAATTACAATGGTCCATTTCATAGATCTTGGCACAACTTATACAAGTTCTTGTTGACTCAGCTGGCTGCCAGTCTTATGCTGCGTTTACATCATGTTGGAATAAGTGGAAGAGTGGGATTACGTTCACGTGTTTAACTTGGACGGTATTCATGTGTTTAACCTGTTGCTCACAAGCCAAATTATGTTTAATGGCGATTAAATCAACCGGAAACGTACGTCGGCCATCACTCTTTCAAATAGTGTGAATATAATTGATTTACAGTTTTTGTATTTCCAGTTATTAAAACTACAGTTATTACATTTGTGGGGCAAAATAAAACCAAAGTTTACCGCTGTCATATCTGTACGCCGATTATGGAGCTACAGCCAGCAGCCAGTTAGCTTAGCTTAGCATGAGGTCTGGAAACATGAAACAGCCTTACTCCGTCCGAGGGTAACATAATCCACTATATATAATATATAATATTGATATATATATTATATATATATAATAAATTATATATATAGTTATAATATATAAAATATATATATTATATATATATATATATAAAAAAACTAGGCTGGCTGACCTGTAGCTTCATATTTAGTGTACAGAAATGTGATAGGTGGAATTCATTTTCTCATTTTACTATGAGCGAGACAGAAAATAAGCATATTCCATATTCCCAAAATGTTGAATTATGCTTTTGATCGATACAAACATTTTAACATTGATGGACAATTTTACAGGATGCACTCATTTTAAACAGTTCATGCTATAACACAATATATTCAACAAAGACATTAGTCAACAAATGTTCTGTCAGCCAAAAATAATCTAAACTTCAGATAAAAGCGGTTCTCATTTAAGTGTTGTTGTACTGAAAAGGAAATGTCTGTAATTTTGTTAAGTTTGATGTGTCTTTTGGCCCACTGACAAACAGAATATGTAGCTCTGCAGCTCACAAAGAAAACGTTTGATCCAAATAAAACAGCATGATGGCAAAAACTCAGAAAAAAGGGGCCCAGATTTAAAAATAACTGGAATTATCTTTCAGTCTAATGAAAATAATGACCCAAACCTAAAGTACGTGTGTATTTGTGAAGAATTAAAGAGAGGTGCTGTTGTTGTAGTGAATGCCTGGGCTGTATTGTATATTCATCATTCAAAGGCCACCGTTCATACAGCTGAAACAGTCTCCACCCCGACACTCCTGCTGCTCAAACAATAAATAACATCTTTACCACCACCAAGCATAGTTGTTGCTAAAACAGTGATATCTGCTACTTTTATCACATTCTTAGTCTTAGTAACTTAAATCAAAGTGTTTTTTTT